AGGTTTGGAGAGACACGAGTCCTCTCAAGGTCACCGGCTTCTGAAATAAAGACTCCTAATTCGGCCTATCGACTACGGTGTCTTCTGTTCAGCTCGCTGATTTCCAATATAACAAAACAACCCAGGAAAAAAGGTTTCATCTTGCGTTCCAGATTAATACGCAGACGCCCAGGGGGATCAGGGGAGGGGCGGGAACGAGGGGAGAATCCCCATTTTTCTGTTTGGAGTGTGGCCATTTTCGCTCGCCCTAGGATGTAAGGAGACCCCCGCGGCCGCCACCCCCAGGCTGGCCCCGGGTCTGGCCACGTGCAGTAAGGCCGCTGAGACCCGACGCCCAGCCCTGTGTTGCGTGTCGCACACCGCAGCATTGTTGTGGCGTTCTCCCTGCCCGGGTTGAGGCGTGTCGGCCCACCAATCACAGGCCACGAAGGTGGACTGGCAATACTTCCAAGGCGCATGCTCAGGGCACAACCGACCGTGCAGGGCGGGCGCCATTATGCAATTGCCTCATGGATCTTAAGAGCTGGCGCTCTCTGCAGACCACAGGCGTTGGCGAGCTGGAAGAACACCGGCACCCTGATAAGACTAAGCGTTGGATACTCCCAAAGCCTCTGGAGAGAGATGGCCGAGTGCAGGGTCCTGGCCGGAGTTCCCTCTGGGCCAGTTGAGAATTTACAGCCGGCCCTCAGGCTTGTACTGTGAAAGTTGATGAAGTAGCGTGAGGAATTCAAAACTCTCTTCTGACAAATAGAGGCTCTCTTCCCACTGCAGCATCCGAAACACTGCTAGGGACAGATTAGTTTAAATGGTGGAGCACTGGTGAGGGGAGTGAGAGCCCAGAGCTTCAATAGAGGAAGAGTAGTGGGGAAGGAAAGACAAATTCAGAGTAGTGGGTTAGAGCTGGACACAGCTTCGCAAGAAATCTGCAGTTACTTGGGCAGGAAGTGGCCCCAGAAAGTGCCATGGAAGCATCTCTATAGTCTATAGTGGACAGGAAAGTTGGAAGGATGTGTCCATCGGATCCTTCCCCTCTTACTGATCCACGTTAGCCTCAATGGTATGAGCTCCCCTACTCTCCAGGCCTTGGCTGGCAGCTGCTAAGAGCCCAAGCAGTAGTATAGGCAACCTGTGGTGCAGGCCTGAAGTAGGCTGAATGGAAGCCGCACCCTCCTCACCCTTAGGGGATACTGAAATTGGCCTAAAGGTTAAAAGGCCGTGAGGATGGCTGTGTGGTTGACTAAGCAGCCAAAGACCTGTGGGTAGCAGATGGAGACCAGTGACTCTTGGATACAAAGACTGGGGATCAGGGCAGCAAGGGGCTTTGGGCCACCTTTCCAACTTCAATCACACCAGCTCCAGATGATTGGCAGTCTATATATGGCCCTCTGGATAAATTTCAGGTGAACTCGTCCTGTGCCTAAATAAGCTAGGAAACCTGTACTGTCATCTGAGTTCTTTATTTTAGAAGGGGAATGGCGAGGAATGAGCCACAATATGTCTAAGTCTTGGAGCTCAAAGGAAGGTTTTGCAGGACCCACCCAGGAGCCCTGGTTGGGCCTGGCACATTCCTAGTTACCAGATGAAAAGAGCCAGACTGAAAAACTGGCCTGGCAACATTTTGGCTCATTGTTGAATGGGATGTGCCTTGCCAGGCCCTTTGTCTGTCTGTCCAGTCTGCCTTGTTTATTGTGGAGATGGTGACCCCAGCAGTGCTGAAAATGGGCAGAGGATAGTCTGAGGCCTCAAACATGGCAGTGAAGAAAGCATATTCCTTTGGAGCTCTGCCTCCCGTGGCCAAGCTGGCTGTTCACCTGCTCAGGGAACCAAGAGCAATGTGGAACCAAGAGCAATGTGGCCTCGTGGTTTCAAAGAAAGCCTCAGAGGTTCCATCTCCAAGAAAGGCTGAACCCTCCAGTGGAATTCTGAGGCTGTTTCAGGCACCTTGGTGACTGCCAACAGGTCCCATACAGCCTGGCCAGCTCCAGAAGAATGACCTTCCAACAGGGACAAATAGCCAGCGGAGGCAACCACCCACTTGGGTCAAGCCTTGTGTTCTGTGTAAATACAAATAAGCTTGAGCTTCATCAGTCTTAACATTTATGGGTCCTAGAGCTGTGAACTCTTGCCCAACACTGCTTAAACCACAGGTCTGAAAGAGAGTCATATAGATATAGAGAACTGGACCCAACAAGAAGAGCCAAAAAGCATTGTCACTCAAATGGATATAAAGGAGGAACCAGAGAAGTTTTTCTCAGATTGTTAACACATGCCTTCCTTTTGTAAACAAAACTGTCAAACTCTTCGCCCAATCTGGTAATAAACACAGAATTAGTCCTAAAGTGGGGTTTTTAATTTTAAATCCATGGGACAGTTAAGGGCGGGGGGGAGGGGATCATATAAAGTGAACATTTTCCTGAGGACTTTGCACCGTTTTTCATCTGATTTTTTAAATAAATTCTTATAGAGTCCTTAACCCAAGATGCAGAACCACAGCCCTATCCCAGAAGAGAAAATGGCCAAAGAGGATGCTGCATCTCACTTAAATTACTTTAAACCATCTAAAAAATCCAGTGTATGTGCGTCGGCAGGTAGAGGGAATATACTTGGTAGCAGTTCAAACTGTCTTTTTTGTAATGTAGCTTAGAATTTGTAATACATCCATCATCTGACAACACCCATTTCTCTTTGGAATTTTCCCTATATACAGATGAGTTATTAAATAAGTAAATATAGACACTCATCATGGAATTTTTCATAAATGTTAAAAACCGAAATGTTTATAAATAGGAGACTGTTAAATGACAGTACATCCAAGACACTGAAATGCTATGCATTCAGAATGTAGACCCATATGGGGTATTCTGAAACAGGTTCTACGATACAATGAGTGGGAAACAGAAACAGAACAGAATGGATGTATACTTGTGTGCTCAGGATGGATACTCTCTCCAGGGAGAAAATGGAGATCAGGGATGAAAGGGAACCTTGCTTTTCATGGTGCAGCTTTCTGTACTGTTTGAATTTTATCACATGCATGTGTCACTTAAAAGATTAAAGAAAGTCCCCACCCCTCCCACTCCTTAAAAACAGGGTTGCTGCACTAATCCATCTATGTGCTGCCTTGAACGAAGGACCTTTCTGCCACAGACCAGCCAGACCATCTCCCTCCTCCCAAGCAGGTCACCTATTCCCTGAGAGTGAAAAGGGAGGGACCCCTGCATTTTATCTTCCCACTAAGAATGGCAGGAGCTCTCTTGGGAAACAGGCTGCAGGCAGCACAGTGGGCACATCCAGAAGTGAAAGCTAAAACATTAAAGCAAGTAAGTATTTCAGTTTGTGGGTGTTGAGGATGAAGACAGAAAACAATGAAGCTGGTGGAGATGAGCAAGAATGTGAAGACAGTTTAAAGCTGCCATAGTGGAAAGAATGAAGAGGAGGAAGGTGCTGGATTTTACTAAGAGAAGAAAACAGACTGAGTTCAGGAGTCTCACCAGAAAAAGTTTATATTATTGCATTTTGATTACAGGTGTGCAAATTAAAATCTTCAGTATTACCCTCTGGTAAAAATGCAGAATCAACTTCCCTTTTGATTAAAACAGGTTTGGGGACAAAAGTGGACCATATGCTGCCTGGGATGAAGAGAGCTAGACAGGAGAGGAATCACCAGCTCAAGAAACCCCAAGATTCTTTATTTAGAGAATCTTCCAGAGGAAGAAGCTAGAGTCATCTCTCGAGTAGTATTTCCCCAAGCAACCCTTTCCCAGAGATGTGGTTTAGGGAAGCCCCAAACCCACAAAGCCATAGGTGCTTCTGGCCATGTGCATAAGTGGATAAAGACTCCCAATTTCCAGTGTGGCCTGCTTCCCTCACCAGTGCTTCCCAGTATTCTGCAGACTTCACAGGGCAGCATGTGGGCCACTGCTGACCTGGGGTAGGTAGATAATTCTTACACCTTCAGAAAATACAAAGTCCTCAAAGAGAAAAGAGAGTTGGGGAAATCAAACCAGAATTTTTCCAATGGCCATTAAAAAGAAAACTCAGCAACTCTTGCGTTAGTCTTTGACCCTGAGAAGTTGAGGGACACAGCTGTTATGAGGTTGTGACTGGACAGGAGGGAAGGCATGGTGTGCTTCCTGCAGAGCTGCCTCTGGAGTCCCTGCGGCCCATCTCCCACGCCTGTGGGCCGGGGGAGCGGGAGGGCTCAAGTGACTGACCCCCCTCTGTCTGTTCCATAGCGGGGACCTTGACTGGGCATGGTGGGGCCAGGCAGAGAGGAAGCAGCAGCAAAAGAAAAAGCAGGTCCTCCAGCAGTGGGCACCATCCAAGGCAGCTGAGTTGCCTCAGACCCTACCACACCACAGACGAAAGCCACCACATCAGCACCAGGGGCCCTTTCACACACAAGTTCCTTTCCTAAAAGGTCCTTTGGAATTCAAACAATTCGGTGTGCTATCCAGTTTAGCGGTCTGACCAGTGTCCGATCTCAACCTGGATTCAAGATACTGAGGCAGGAAACCTCACTGTCCACAGCTGAGGCAATCACTCTAGCAGTGAGAATTTGGGTGATGGATGGTAAGGCTGAACAGGACATTTCTTCCGCAAGCTATTTGTACAAAGCCACAGCCAAGACAGCTGCTAAGGCTGACACATCCCTGACCTAAGCAAGGAGCCACTCAGTGCCAAGCCTCTTCCTGACCCATGGTCCCCTTGATCAGAGCCCGTAGGGGGAGCACAATTCTGGGGTCTCTTTCCCTCCCCTATCCTAGATCCCAACGTTCATCTATCTCTAGAGCCTCTCCAACTTCTGGATGGCGCTGGACTTGCCACATCTTGAGGAGCCAGGAGCCGAGACAATCAGCTTAAGCTTGACATCCTGATTCTGTTCTTTTTGCCCCGGAGTCACACACACACACACACACACACACACACACACACACACACACACACACACACACACACACAAACAAACAAATGTATAGTCTCACAGCAGGCACAGCATCTTGTTTCTTTTTAAAAATAAATATTTATAAACAGGGAGGAAGATTCAAAGAATCAAGAGTCTCTTTCCCTCCAAAAGCACAAATGTCCACATGAATCAAACCAAGGTAAGTCCACCAACCCGTGAATGAAAACCGCCTCCCCCCAGTTCTGCCTTGAGGTACAGGGGAGCTGATCTCTGGCTCCGAGTCCCTTAGTCCCCCTTGGTGATCAGGTCCTCGATGTAGGCATCCAGCTCATCATCTGTATTGATGTCTATGTCCTGGAATAGAGCAAGGCAGGGTCAGCTGGGGGCCATAAGGTGGGGGGGTCCGCCTCCCCACCCTTCTTGCAGCCTGTAGGACCTGAACCAAGTCCCCTCCTCACCTCCCTCCATTCCCACCTACACCCTGGCTGTCAGCCCTGTCCCCTCCCTCTTAATTACCCCTCACCCCCAGGTCAGTCCTCTGTTCACAGATGACGCCCAGATTTTCTGCCTCTATCCTGACTCTACCCCAAGTTCCAGGTTGCCTTAGATATGTTGCAGCCTTCTCAGACTCAATATATCCAAAACAGCTCAAATGTACCACCCATTTCAAGTTGTTCCATCTCAGTTACAGACCACCACCTTCCCTCCACCCAGGGGCTCAAGCCAAACCACAAGAACCACCTTTGTGTCTTCCCTTTCCCTCAGATATTGCAGATATGCCCACTATCCTCCCACCTCACTGTCACCATCCAAGGTTCAGGCCACCAGAATCTCTCACCCAGACAACTGTGGGAACCTCACTGGAGTCCTGAGCTCTAACCTCCGCCCCCTCCAGGTCCTCCTATAACCAACCAGAGTCTGACATTGCAAACCAAATGATGCCACACCCCTCCAGTGACTTCTCAGCTCATACAGGCCCTGCCCCTACTCCTACCGCCCATAACTCCCTGCCTTGAGCCTAGAGTCCTGCTGTTCCCTCTACAGGAGCACTCACACCCACTTACATGATTGGTTCCACTCTCACATCAGAGGCCACCCCTAAACACCCTAGAAAAGAGGACTCCCCTTTTTTCTCTGTCTCATTCTATTTACTTCTTGGCACTTCCCGCCATCAATAATTCTATCTCCTCCACTGCACTATTGGCCTGTGAAAGCAGGGACCTTATCTCGCCTGTCTGGTTCACCTAATATCCACAGGACACTAAGTAGGTTCTTACTGTTTACTGTCTGGATGAAGCACCGAAACCCTACAGGGGACTTCCCACTACTGGGCCACCCAACCCCATCTGGGCGTCATCTGGAAAAGTGAGAACTATTTTATGGCTTGCAGGATTCTCAAACCAGGTGGTACATCAGAATGTCTAAACAAGGGCAAAAGTCTGATACCGTGGGTCTGGCTGGGATGAGGCCCAGGCAGCCGCACCACCTCCAGCCCTCCTGGTCAGGATGCTGTGCAGCCAGGGTTGAAACCACAGATTCCTGTGAGTGAGGAGAAGGGAGCAAGAGGTGCCCAGGCCTCCCCACCTTAGACACCAGGTGGTCCAGCTGCAATGAGAGGGCTGCCTGGCTCACCTCCTGCACCTTTTGTAGGAGCGCCACAATGTTGGTCCTCAGCTTCTGCAGCTTCTCCTCTGTTTCACGGAGCTTTCTCTCGGAGGTGCGCAGGCTCTCCTCGGAGGCCTTGGCCCGCGAGTCAGCACGACTCTGATAGGAATGACACAGGTTCTGGAGCCCCACTTCATACTGCTTGAAGTACTCTTTCTGTCAGGAGGGAAGCCAGAAGATGGGTGCATGAGCTCACAGGGGTCCCCAGGGCCCTTCTAGATGAGCACTGGTTTCCCCAACTGGCTCAGCACAAGGATGCTGCATCTGAGGGGATGTCAAACACAAAGGGCAAGCAGTCTCTCTAGCTCCAAGGTAGAAAGACCCTGATGCCTATCTCGTAGTGCTGCCGTCAGGACAAAGATGGGCTCACACATGTGAAGCACTTAGCAAAGTGCTTTGGCAGACAGCAAGCCATGGGTGAATGTGAGGAATGATTACAAGTGGTACAAAAGGACAAGAGTCACTCTCCCAGCTCCATCCTACCTTTCTAACTTTACAACAGCCCTTTCAGCAATCCACTTCCAAGTCACACCCCACAATGTCAGTACCAGAAGTTCTCTTCTATCAATATTTACCAAGCAACTAGCAACATCAGATAGCTCTATATTTATGCAGCATCAGTTTTTACTATCTTCCCTGAGTCCCTGAAACTTCCAAAGGATGAGGTAGATAACTAGTTTCTATAGATATGAGACTTTTACACTTTTACACTTTCAAAGGGTAGCAGAATATTTGTTTCAAATGAAATTTTACATGAAATCTCAGTGTAAAAAAACAATTTAAGTAGTATCTCTTTAGGTTTTGTTTCTTTTCTAAGTTCAAACTTACATCATGATCTACTCATAAGTTACCAATGAGAATACCAAGGCCATTTGGATGAACACGAACTCACAATCAGCAGGTCATGGCTGACCACTGCAGTCTTTCCAATTCTAGCATTTATTTACTTCTATGAAGGGGTATGATCTACCTAGCATTGATTGGGTGGCTCCTAACCACTGTTTGTAAAAAGTGTTACCGCCAAGTATTTAACTGTGTCATTTACCTTACAATTTAGAATATTATCCTATTAAACCAAGATGGCAAAAGAAACTTCAAGTTCTGCACAAAAAATAATTACCTTGGCAGCACAAAATAAATGTTCAAATCTGTTTCAAAGTATTAAAATACAGTATACAATGTCTTGAGCCTGACTGTGATTTGTATTGTTTTTTTTAACTTTTGTTTTAAAGTAAGTATAGACTTGCATGCAGTTATATATGTTTGAATCTAATACTTGCAAGATCCTTGTGGGCTTTATGGAATTCCTGGTCCAGTATGATGAGAAAAAGGACCATCATTTAGACTCACAAGGCCTTAATGAACATTAGACTCTTTTTGTTTCCTTGACATTAAAAAAATTAAAGTTTGAGTTATTTCAGGCATTACAACTAGGACATACAGTTGATGCACTGGTGATATACCTCCTTTTACAAGAATAAGTTAACAGACTATTTTAGGCTCAGACGTCCCTGCTATGTTTTGGTCTAAGCCAGGGGTCGGCAAGCTGCGGCTTGCAAGCTACATGCGGCTCCTTGGGTACATACATGTGGCTCTGAAGTAAAATTGAAAATGAAAATAAAACTATCATAGTTTCATTTATAAAATTTTTTAAATTCACATAATGGTGATTTCATTAGTTTTATAGGTCTCGCAAAACTTCGAGGGACAGGATTGGCTCTTCCGTCTCAAAAGTTTGCCAACCCCTGGAGGCCACTGCAGCGATTCCACTGAACCCAAGCGTTGCTCTGAGTTTGACAACAACTTTAAGCCAAAAGCAATAAATCTGACTAACAAGAGGATGTAGGGCCAACCTAGCCAGCCTATTAGCTATTTGTTCCCAGGATCTGCAGGGCAAGAGTTGAAGTGTGGAGTTTTCCATGAAGCCGTCATGAGTTCTATCATATTCTAGCTTCCTCAGTGTGGACCACCCCATCATGTCGCAGGGAAGCAAGAAGGCACCATGACAAGGGCAAGACCCTTGGTCCTAAGGAGTGCCTGTGTTCAAATCTGAGCTCTATTACAACACACTCTTCACTTCTTGGAGGCTTAGTGTCTTCAACTCCTAGCCTCATTTCTTTTAAAGTGGAATGGAGATAAAACCCCGTATTTTTCTCTCTGGAAAAACTTATCAAGAACATAGCTGCCACATGAGGACCTGACATCTTGAATACACTAATCCTGCTGTTTTAATTCCAGTTCTCTTCTAGAAAAACCACCCTAGAAAACTAAGCTATTCCTACCATAAAAACATCCCACTTCATGTGGATGACTCCCAAATCCTCATCTCCAGTCCTGGCCTGTCCACCCACAAGTGCCAGTTCCCAATCTCTATCTGCCCACTGGACATCACCAGAAATTTAGTGCTGGTACTTCCAACCCAACACAATTAAATCTCAACTAATCATCTTCCCTTGATGAAAGCCATTTTCTCTCCCAGTTAACAGCTTTGTCATCAACTTCCTATTCCCAAAGGCCTGAGACAAAAAGTATGTAGCCTCTGCCTCCTCCCCCATCACCTGCCTACAGTCAATGGCCAGTCTGTCAATGACCTCTGACATGGCTCTTTCACCTGCTGGTCTACTCCCACCACTCTGGATCCCGTTCCCATTCCCTCCCCTCTGACCTGTTACAATTGGACCAGCCTCCTTGCCCTTGTATCTCCCATCCACCCATCCTAGCAAACATGCTGCTACCAGAGTTACCCTCTTAGGGGCAGGGGCAGGAGACTATGGCCAAATCACCTTGCAGTTTTTGTAAATAAAACTTTATTGGAACACAGTCACATCCTTTATGTACTGTCTATGGCAGCTTTCAGGTTATAATAGTGGAGTTGAGTAGTTACCAGAGACTGTGTATCACACAAAGATGAAAATATTTACTAACTGGCCCTCTATAGAAAAGCTTGTTAACCCCTGCCCTAGACACGGTTCAGACTGACAATTCCATTAGCTCAAACATTTTGCTGGCCCTCCTATTTCATACAGAGTTTAAGCCACTGTGCTTAAGATTGGACATTCAAGACACATCATATCCTGACTCTCAGGCCCCTTCTATCCTAAATGCTCATCCTCCACCTGCTGCCTTGACCTCCCCGCCATCTGCCCTTTCATCCCTCTGAGCCTTTGCTCATGAAAGTCTCTCTGCCTCAAACACTCTCCATCACATACACAGACACGTTTTCCTCAGACTGAGTCGCGCTCTCCCCTCCCCCAGGCTGCCCACATCCATAGCACTTACTGTTCTCTACCTTACTTTCAGCTACCTGGTATCTACTGAATCTTAAGCCACTTGGAGGCAGGACTCTTGCTGCTAACTAAAGGGTCCAGCAGAGGGCCTCCTCAGGGGAGGTGTCACATCAACATTTGCTGGCTTAGATAAGACTCACTGCTTATTTCCATACATCACAAGCTTCTTTGTATCTCCCTCTGAGAGTCAAGTTTTAAGAACTTTGAGCCCAAGTTCTTCACTGCTGCCTGGACAGGTTTACTCTCTCTGCCAGGGTAGAGGATAAGAGATGTAGTCATCATAGAATATCAAACCAGGCCTACTATCCCTAAGTGAGGACTCAGGTCCAGGGTCTCATGACACCAGAGTCATGTCCACCAGCTAAGCCACTTCTTTTTCCACAATGTAAAGTCTCCTCCTTCCCTTCTCTCAGCATAAAAGAGAGAAGCTGGCTGGGAGGCACATAGCTGAGTGCTGTCAATCACAACAAATAACAAGGCAGGCAGAGTGTAAAATCAAAGGTCAGGCCAGACTCACCAGAGGAAACGATATCAGCTCATCTGAATTCATAGCACTGAGTTCCTTCTTGGAGATGGGGAAACTTGGAGGCAGGAAGTACCGTAAACAATTCCTAAACAAGAAAGGTGGGGACAGGAAGTCAGAATGGCATGGAGGGGTAGAGAGCTACCGCTGGCCGTGGAGCAGGACGACAAACGCACCGGAGGATTTGGACAAGCAGGTCGATGGTCTCATGGTTGGTGCTTGGGGCAGTGGTGTCAGGCTCGATGCGGATGCAGTCAGAAGTGGAGGGCTCTGCCACAGCCACAGTCTGCTGCTGAGCCTGCTGAGCCTCCATGGCCTCCTCCTCCTCCCCACCCTCCTGCTGTGTGTCGGGGCTTTGATACTCCGGGGAAGGGGGTTTCATCAGCCGCACATCCTCACTGTCTTTTTCCACCCTAGAGAGGACACAGTGCTATGTCACATGTATCCTGGGCTCCCAGGATGGGAACCACCTCCCCCTGCCCTAGCAAACTGTCATCCCAGCCTCTCAGAAGGGGCGTTACCAGCGGTCTCTTGGTGTTGTGTCTGTGGGCACGTAGTCAAACTTCACTTTCCACCGAACCACATGCTTGCCCACCTCCACAGCTGTGACACGGCCTGTGTACCACTCCCTGTTCACACGAACTTCCACGTGCAGCCCTTTATCTGAGAATGGGGATGGGGTGGGAGTCAGTCAGAAAGTTAGAGTCCCCACTCAGCCAGAGCCACCACTAGAATGGTCATCCTAGAGTCTGCAGGGACAAGAACCCCTAGGTGCTTGCCCCCACTATGCCAGGGACATGGAACCCAGCCACCCTGGTCTCCTTCCCCATCTGTCATGAGGGTGCCAAAGAGCAGCAGGATGAGTGACTGCCAGAGGTGAATGCCAAGAAATTAGTGCTAAAAATACACATAAGGGAGTGCTTTCTTCAGAATTCTTATTGGAATTAGACTTAGAACCACTGTAGCACGAGAGCCCAGAGTCAGGAAAGCCTCCATAAGCCTTCAGAATAAGCTGCTGCTGGCTGAGGTATCCCACTTCCTACTTCCGCCTCAGGCTGCCAGGTATGCCTCTCTGAACTCACCTTTCTGAGCCTTCTTGAGGTCAGCTGAGTCTTCTTCCCCAGCACTGTCTGAGAGCTACAAGGAGAACAGGGTCTGTTAGAGAAATCCCCAATGTCCCCAAAGAACAGACTTTTGCATGACTGGCTGCCCAGGGACATCAGCCGTCACCTTCACATTATCAGTTTAAATCACCATGCCTTATTGAAAGCCACTCCTTAAATCCCCATCTTAGGTACCTACCCTTCTGCCACCTTTATAAACAAGATAGCAGGCAAGGGCAGAATGTCACCGACACACAAAGCAAGGGTTTCAAGCCTCCCTGATCTGTGTCAATGACCTCAGGCCTATGACTAGAACCAGAAGACAGTCTCACTCAGGACCCTACCTGGCACCATGTTTCGTCATCTGTGTAACTGAGAGTCTTTAAAAAGATGAACTGGGCTTCTGGAAGGCTCATGTCACAGAGCACAAATGGAGATGGTGCAGATTGCAGGTCAGGGGTGGAGACTGGGGAGGGAGGCTCTGAGACCCTCACCTTGACCACCTACCTCATTCGAGTCCTTCTTTTCCTCCTTCACAGCAATTTTGCCCCGCTTGGACCTCTCCTTCCTCCTCTCAGCCTCTTCCTCAGTTTCTTCCTCATCAGAGACCTCAAGAGTCCGCTTCCGACCAGGAGTGGCCTACAACAAGAGAGGGAATATGAGGGGACATGTCAGCCCTTGAAGTGCAGGAAGATTCCAGTTGGCCTACAGGAGCTTCAGAGAGGAGCTTGTATGCCTCTCAGTCCTCAGCAGAGGTCAGCACCTCCTGTCATTGCTCAGTACACAGGAAACCCCGGCCTCTACACCCACAAAGACCTTAGCTCAAAGCTGTCACAGGGGAAGCCTCTCCGTTCATTCCACACTTGGCCTGCCTGGCCAGCCCCATGACCTCCCTGACACATACCGCCCACTGCTGCACCCCACCAAGGTTTTCTGTCATCAGATCACCCACCCATGCCCACAGTGTGAGAAGCCAATGGAGGCAGTTCAAGTTTGTAGCAGACCAAAACTCGGAGGAAGCAGTGAAAAGCTTCCTGGACAGGGAACCAAATTGCTCTGTGCCCCTGACGGAGTCCCTCCCTTCAGCTATCTAGAATCCTCCTCCTCAGGGGCAGCAAGCAGGTGATCGCCACTGAGGCTCTCCCAGCACAGCTCTGACTCTGCCTGATGCCAGTCCTGCACCACAGAGGGTGGGCTGGAGGCTGGAGGAGGAAAAGCATCTCACCGGGGAAAATTTACTGGGTGGCTCTGGCTTCTTGACCACTGGAGTCTTGATGGCTCTGGGGGTAGGGACCTCCCGAGGGCTCCTGGAGTTGGGCAGCAGAGATGGTGACAGTGGCTGCACCAGAGGAGCAGGCCGGGGCACAGTCCTGACAGGAGTGTTAGCAGGCTTTCGGGGTGCCTCAGGTGGCTGGAGCAGCCTGGATGTACAGGCCTCCTCCCGGGCTGCCAGGGCAGGCAGCTTTGGAGTGCTGCTGATGACAGGAGCCTTTCGGGGCTGGCTGGCTGGCCTCGGAGCTTGCAGGGAAGGGGGTCTGCTCGGAGCATTTTTTATCACAGCAGGTAAAGGAGGTGACCGAGGACGCTGAGGTCTACGTGCAGGTTCCTAAAAAGGCCCAAAGAGTGTGAAAATACTGATCTTAGCACAAGACGTCTGAGGAAAAATCCCCTCTCCTGCCCTTGGCCTTTACCTCAGTGGAAGGTCTGGTGGTCACTTCCAACGGCAGTTTCTTCAGGTCAGCTTGGGAGCGGATAGGTGTGGTTTTCTGCAGGGAAAACAATGATGAAGCAGTTGTTTGCATGCCTTGGTACATTCAAGAACTCTTTCTGGATCCCCACTATGTGTCTAGGACAGTCTAAGACAATGGGCAAATAAAAAAAATTTAGAACTGGGCCACAGTCCTATTACAAGTCTCCCATTCTCACTGGGGAAACAAACAAAAATACATAGACGCTAAACCATCAGCAAATTGCAGGATTTTATATGACTAATCCAGCAATTGTGAGACTGAAAAAGTGTCAATAGACTCAATTCCCATAGAAGAAGTCAAAACATCAGGTGAGAAAGACCTGATTAACATGGTCAGAAAGGATAGGTAGGATTCAGAAAACTGGGAGGCATGCATAAAACATCTGAGTTAGTGAGAGCTTCTGCACAGACACATTAGTCAAAAGCAAAAAGCTTTAGTAACATATATGATAAAGGGTTGATCCCACAAATATATCTAAAAAACCTGACAAGTCAATTTGAGAGGAAAAAAACAAATATAAGAAGAATAAGCAATTTTAAGAGAAACACACATGTAAAAAACATATTTTAGAAATATGAAAGAAGTTAAAATTATAAGATTTATACCTCTGCCTATCAAATTTGCAAAAACATTTAAAAATAAATGTACTGCTGGTAAAAAATAAATTAACACATCTTTTGGAGGGTAATTTGGAAATAGTTTTTAAAAGCCATAGAATTTTACAAACCCTTTTACCCTTTCAAATTCACTTCTAGAAAATTATTCCAAAGGAAATAATTATGCACTAAAAATATACATCTAAATATATGTGTTTGTGTAGATGACACATAGATGTCATGATCTCCATATTTCTATTAAAAATATATACGTATACGTATTTATGTGTATGTAGGCAGTCGTAAAAAGTTGGAACGAGGGTCGGCAGAGTGGCGTGATGGTTAAGAACTGGCTTGGGACGCCAGAGGGGCCCGGTTCAGATCCCACATGTGAGAGCCAGTGACACTGCCCTCTATAGCTAAGATGCTAACAACAGCTCAACCTGGAGCTGGGCTGCTATGAATCGCTGGTGATGGCGTAGGCTGCAGCCCCGGTGGCAGTGGGTTGCGATGGGCTAGCGTATGTAGCCAGCAGCCAGCATAAGCGGCCAGCAGCTGCAGTGAGCGGCCGCCCAGAAGCCGGCGACCGATCTGCCTCGCCCGGGAAGAGCGCAATGATAGTGCCAACTTGGGCCAGTGAAGCAACGTCCTCCACAACTAGACTGAAGAACAAAACGACAGCAACTTGTCTGTTCCCCTTTCCCCAATTCCCCAGCACTGTTCCCATGCCCCCAGTTGCCCAATAAAAAATCTTAAAAAAAAAAAAAAGTTGGAACGATGTATAGTTAATGATGGTTACCTCTAATGTAGGATATTCATTTTCTAGGGTTTTAAAACAGTCATAAATGAATTATACCACTTTATAATATATAAACAAGAAGTCTGTCTTTTTTTTTTTTTTTTTTTAGCTGAGCCATCCTGCCACCTGTTGACAGCTCAGCGGCTGCTCAGCTCGGGCAGGGACTTGAACCGCTATTGCTCAGAGCTCAAACTCTTGAGTGAGCTCTTAACCAACTGAGCCATTTGGCCGGCCCAAAAAGTCTGTCTTTTTAAAAGAATAATCAGGGTGTACTTGAGAACTGGAGTGTGAAACTGAGCCTGAGGGAACAAGGGAACCAGAGGGTTCCTGTCCCATCCTGGACACACCCCTGACACAGGCTGGCTCTGCCCACTGCCCATGACCACACACCTGCAGGGCCTCCAGCTTCTCCTGCTGTTGACGAATTTTCTCTGTCAGCTGCTTCTGCTTCTCTTCCTGTGTCTTCAGGTCCTTTCTGAATGTCCCCAGGGGAACCTTCTGCTTCTGTTCAGAAGCCTCACACCTGTAGAGAGAAGGTACTAAGGAGGCTGTGGCAAAAGAGGGCTCCAGGTAGGGCAGGGTCCTTCCTCCTCAGCCAACACATGCTGTCGCTCACCAGAGGAACCATCTCTGAGTGCCCACACACACAGAATGAATACTCACTGCAGGACACTCATCCATGCTTACTTCCAGGGCATTTTTTTTTTTTTTAAGATTTTATTGGGGTATTGGGGGAGGGGAACAGACAAGTTGCAGTCCTTTTGTTCTTTAGTCTAGTTGTGGAGGACGTCGCTTCACTGGCCCATGTTGGTATTATCATCACTCTTCCCGTGTGAGGCAGTCGCTTGCCAGCCATTGGACTGCCGTTCACGGAGGCTCACAGCAGCTCATGAAAGCGCACACCTGCTGCCAGCCAGCCCCACTGCAGCCTACGCCGTCGCCAGCGACTCATGGCAGCCCAGCTCCAGGTCGAGCTGTTGTTCACCATCTTAGCTGTAGAGGGCGCAGCATCACTGGGCCTCATGTGGGTTCCGAATCGGGGCCGTGCTGCTCAGAGCTGGCGTCCCAAGCCAACTCTTAACCAACGTGCCACTCAGCCGGCCCCAGGGACCTTATTATGTGCAGTGAAGTCAGGTATAAAGATGTGAACACTGACCTCAAGGAGCATACTGAGGTACTTATCCAGAAAGTGAAGAGAACATGGTGGGAGGATGGAGATACCTACAACCTCCCTGTTAGAGAAAGTGCTCACCGGTCCTGCTCAGGATCAGGGTTCATGGAGCAAACCCAGGTGTCAGGATAATCTTTTTCCACAGAACTCAGCTGAAAGGGGAGGGTCCGCCACTTTAGACACAAATCTGTGACACAGAAAACACAACTCCCAAAGTTAGCAATACCTACCAACAATATCTATGATCAGGGTCCTCCCTGCCAGGCCCAAAACAAAGATGCCCACTGTGGCTCCAACTCTGCCTTCCTTACAGAACAGTAATTCTTCTCAGAGATGCTAATTCCAACAAGGATAGACACTTTATATTGTGGACTCTCAATGCCCCCCAGCCCCTCTCCCTCCTCTAGTAGGATCCTGGCTCAGTCATCACTCACACTATCACCAACATGGTACTAAACCAAGTGAAGCCTAGCAAGTTAATCACCTGTCTCAATCAGGAAGGAAAGGTAGAACTCAGTCCTAAGACTGAGCTCCCAGGGCCATCCCCGAACAAACTCATATCTCTAGTGGGACTGTAAGTCCTCGAATGTGGGTCTAATCAAAAGGCCATTACAGGGATGGAGAGAAAAGAAGGTCATGATCTATGATGGGAAGGAGTTAAGAGGAGGCCCCGACCACCAACTCACCACATTGGATGGTGGTTGGGATTTCCATAGCTCTCCGGCGTTTGTACCGCAGATCACTGGATGGGGGCTGGTTCCAGTTGGCAGAGAGGTAGCCAAACTCATCCCAGAACTTGATGATTCCCCGCTGGGCTGGAAGGCAAACACCCACACACCTTGTTAGGAGCCAGCCTCTGGCTCTTCCTAATTTCACCCCCAGTCAGTGAGTGTCTTAAGGCTGGAGGTGAAGAAAAACGGCATTACCAATGGCAATGTCCTTCCAGTACTGTGCCAGGTGTTCCCCCATTGCCCGTAGCAGGTGTCGGTACTCTTTGGCATCAGCAAAGTCCTGCTTGTTGTGTGTAGGCTCCAGGACCAGGTAGGGCACATCAACAACCCCAACAACCCCACCACATGCCCTGCCAGGAAAAAGAAGACACAGCTGTCACCCCACTGGCCAAAACCTTCCCACCATCTTCTTGGGTTGGGAAGCTCTCCTGGGGCAGTACTCACATGCCCCCTTCCAGCTGTGGGCCCACTTTCTCATACATCTTGATCAGGCGGCTACAGTTGTAGATGAACATGCCATCCAGGTCCCGGTGTTCAATATTGACCCCAAAAACAAAATTCAGTTCCTTAGGTTCTTTAAGTGCTCTGAGAAGACAAAAATTCAAGCATATCAACCCATTAACACACGAATACCATAATGTTTAAGATGTGTTATACTTAAATTTGAGACATGTTAAGCAAAAGCAAAAACTTTTACATTTTCATTCAACGTGGAACCTGTTAAAACTTCATAGAGCTATGCACTGTGCAGTGACTCTAAGTATCCCTAATTAAAAGCACATGACTTTGGCTTTTGGTAACAAACAGAGATGCATTTAGGTGTGAATGGGATGCTGTGAAGCTGGTGAAAATCTTTGAGTTGCAGTGGAATAAACACAAGGTTTTCTGCATACCTACTCCATTAATGTGACAGTAATTAATTTAGAAAAGGCAAAAATTCACAAGAACAATGAACATGTATGTGAGAGAAGAGACCTTTATGTGATAAATGTCAATAAAATTGGGGAAGCTGAAAAGCAGATGGATAAGGTGGACTGACTCAGACAGAAGAAACCTAAAATGTACACCTGTGACAAGGAGGCCAAAAAGAAGCCAGCCAGGAATTCAAGGCCCAGAGCCCAGAGAGGCTCCAAACATGGAGGTGGGATGCGGAGACAAGAAGCCAGGAAAATGCCCATTCTGGATAAAAACAGTCCAAAACTCAATCTATAGCATTATTCCACAATTGTAACCGCAGATAAGAAATTAAGAGTAGATATCCAGGTGGTAGAAGCATAAGGGAGTTTAAACTTTTTTTTTTAATGTTCTATATTTTATAAGTTTTATACAATGAGCATTTTATACATCCTTTAAATGAAAGGAAAAAGGGAGGGAGGGAAGGGAGAGGCGGATGAAAGGAGAGAGGGAGAAAGAGAAAGAGAAGGGAGGAGAAAGAGAAAGACAGACAGACAGGTGCCAATAAGAAGGGTTTGGTGTTCAATTCAAGGTGTTGGCCCTGCCCTGCCTTTTCCTAGCTCAGTTCTTTCCTGAGCTAGGAAAAAAACATTCTCTGACAGTGGACATTTGACAAGCATTTGGGATCACAACATTAATGGCTTTCTCAAAGCAATCTTTGTGATCAAACTTTGCGGGGCTGGGGAGGGATTCCTCAAGCTCTTTGTCAATAATCAGTACAAAAGCTCCATAATTCTAAGACCAAAAGCTAGCCCTGGCACTCACCGCTGCTTGGCCTCCTTGATCCGCTTCTTGACATCAGCCTCTCTACGCAGGGTAATGGCTGTGTTCTGGACCTGCCGCAACATCACCTGGAAATGGACATTGGCACCAAGTGAGGAGAGGGCGTACTCTGGGCCACAGCAGAGAATATTGTAACACATCTAAAGCTTCTTATTTTAAATCACATGGGTGCAAAACCACACCTGGAGATTTACGTTTTCTTTTCTTTTCTACAGAAAATGGGGACAAACTCAAAAGCTGAGTTTCACTTGACCAGGCTCGCTGACATGGAGGGAATATCCCCAACTGAATCAACAGTCTACGGAGGTGTGTGTCAGACACGGAGGCGCAGAGAACTGCTCTGACCCTTACCACAGCGTGTGACCTGGGGCAACTGACACTCTTCACTTCAATTTCCTTTCTATAAACTGAGAATACTAACCGTGTCCACACCTCATATGGTTGTTGGGATATTTTTGATTAGCCAAAGTTTTGCCATACAGTGTGTTCAATCATGATTATAGAAACATCATAACATCCCATTTTTCGGCTTTAGGACAAGGGGTTCATGACTTTTCTGGGGCTGAACCAGGCCAGCTCTTGGATCCTACTGCCAAAATGCTGGAGAACAGCTGCAGGGGTCTGGGGCCTTACCCTGGAGTCCCGTGTGAGGTCTCCACCTAAGCGTAGTTCTAATGTCCGAGCTTTGCTCTCTGCCTCCCGTGCCTTCTCTTCAGCTGAAACCCAGAATAAATCATAAGGAATTTAAAGGTTTAAACCTCTTAGTCAGCCTTACTGAATCCCACAGTGCAGTCCCTGCTGCATAAGGGGGGGTGGGGTGGGGGGAAGTGAGAGTGAGTGAGTGTGTGTGTGTGAGAGAGAGAGAGAGAGAGAGAGAGAGAGAGAGAGAGAGAGAGAGTGTGTGTGTGTGTGTGTGTGTGTGTGTGTGTGTGTGTGTGTGTGGCGGGAGAGAGGGAGGGGGGAGTAGGGGGGAGAGGGAGAGATAGAGATAGAGACAGAGACAGAGATGAGAGAGATGAGAGAGAATATGTGAGTCAGGCTCTATTTATACCTGAGACTGCTTTTCAAACTTTACAAATCAATCCGAACAGGTCAAAAACTGCTCAAGGCAACCAGAGTTAAACACTCAACAGGAGCTGAGAGTTATAAAGTCCTCAGCCAATCACTCTCCATTGAGCTGCAAAGAAGTCCTGTTACCAGGACAGACCTTGAGATTTTTGCCCTGGAGTCATGAAAACCAATTTCACAAATATTTGGGCCAGAGAACAGTAGGATTCTTCACTATGGGAAAGCCCAGGAGTTGACAAATGGCTGACAAAGAGAAAGTAGAGTCTGGGGAGAAAAACTGCGGAGGGGATTGGCATACACTGGGAGGGGTGCAGGAGGAACAGGATGAGCGGTTCAAGAGGACAGCCTGTCCCAAGGTTGGAGAGAGCTTTTTTCTGGATCCTACTTTGGCCACAGGCAGTGTCCCCTAGGCGACCCTCACCCAACCCCTCATGCACAGGGGCGGGGG